AGATAGAGAGATAAAGAGATAGATAGATAGAGAGATAGAGAGATAGAGAGATAGAGAGATAGAGAGATAGAGAGATAGATAGATAGATAGATAGATAGATAGATGGATAGGTAAAAAGGTAGGTAGGTAGGTAGGTAGATAGGTAGATAGATAGATAAATAGATAGACAGGGTAGGTATACAGATAGGTAGTTAGATAGCTAGATAGATAGATAAATAGATAGATAGGCGGATGGATAGATAGATAAACTAGATAGATAAATAGATAGATAGGTAGATAGATACGTAGATAGACAAAAAAACTGGAGACATGTGCAAAACATTCTGTATAAGCACACGCACAGATACATGTATAGACACCCGTACATACATATATATATATATAAACACACCGTCATTATGTCCGTATATGCGTGAAATAAAAGTAGCTGCAGACACATTGGATGTGTAAAGATATACGCTGAGTATAATACGGTATATGTGCGTATGTATATACGGTGCTTTGTAAGTGTTTTGTGCTGTGCCTACATATGTCGAAGAACATGTCCGTGTATGTACATATATGCATATTATGTGCATATATTCAAAATGTGTATACATACATGTTACATATGTACAAAAATCCGTGTGCGCATATGTGTTTACCTGTGTCTGCATACTTGTAGGTAGTATACGGAACTGGGCTCCATACTTAAACTCGAAGGAGGACAACTCGTCGAAGAGCTTGGCGAGCTCCTCGTTGGGCCCAGACCTCAGAGCGATGCACCCCAAGGTTTGGGGCCGGGCTCCGGGGCCTCTAATTAGGGTTTAGGGTCGATTTTTTGAGCACCTGTTTTGGGTTTAGGGTCTAGGGTTTAGGGTTTAGGGTAGAGAAACTGGAGGGCTTTGGAGGCTTCAGGGGTTCGGGACTAGAAGGTTTCAGGGCTGGGATGAGACGAACGCGACGACTGCTCGCCAGCAAGGCCTGTTTCACTAGGGCACAAACGTTTTCTTCGGGCTCTTCACAGCCTGGCGAATGACCGTCATCACATCAAGTTTGATGAAGACAACATGGGGGTTTCCGAAAATAGGGGACCCCAATATAGCACCCTAAATAATAGGATCCCTATTATAAGGACCCCCAAAATAAGGTACCCTAATTTTCTGAAACTCCCACATGGATCATGCGGAACGTAGTGGCCTGCTTCGCCGGCTTCTCGGCTGCCCGCTTCTGCGGCTTCCGCGGCGGCGGCGAGTCCGGCTTTTTCTGTTCTGGCGCAGCCGCAGGAGCTGCTGACACCGACCTTTCTGCGCAGACAGACCAACGAATAGCAAGTATAGTATAGCATGGCATAGTACGGCACAGTAACAGTATAGAATAATGTGGCATAGTAGCCTTCACAGTAACCGCACAGCAAACTTCTCTGTAACAGCACAGCAAAAGTTTCAACAATATGTCGCCGTTTATGCTTTATCGGCAGCTCGGTTGCCCGCTTCTCCGGCTTCCGCGGCGGCGGCGAGTCCAGCTTGTTCTGAGCTGGCGCAGCTGCAGGAGCTGCTGACACCGACCTTTCTGCGCAGACCAACGAATAGTGAAGCATAGTATAGCATCACATTGTACGTTATAGCACGGTACAGCATAGAATAGAATGGGGTAATTCGGCATAGTAAACTTCACAGTAACAGCACACAATCACAGGTCCTCTGTGCTTTATGATTTACAGGGCTTCCTGAGTCGAGGACTTGCCCAAGGCGAAGTCCTAGTCGGGTCAGTGCTGAAGCAAACTATCCCACATTTTGACGTGGGGCCTAAACCCTAAACCCTAAACCCTAAACCCTAAATGGGACCCTAATTTTTGACGTGGGGGCTCTGCTTGAGGCCAACCCTGAGCTCAGGCCTTCCATTTGCGAACAAGCTCAGTGCAGTGCTCGCGCACCTGGCATGCAGCACTGCGTGCCATATCCCACACAACGACACGAAATACGCATACGTCTGTAAATGTTATACACATGTGTATATATATATATATGTATATATGCATATATATATATAATGATATATAAAGAGATATATATATATATATATGTAACTGTATCTACACACCATACATATGCATAATGCCTTTCATGTCTGTATGTATGTATGTATGTATGTATGTATGTATGTATGTGGTACCATGTACGTACACATGAACAAAGATGTATGTCACGTGTGTGTGTGTGTGTGTGTGTAAACATGTAAAAAGACCGGTCATGTATACATAGATAGGTACGTACATACGTACGTATGTACGTACGTACATGCGTGCATGCATACACACAGACAAAAATATGCACACAATGCATTCATACATACATACAGACATACAGGCAGACAGACAAACAGACAGACAGGCAGGCAGACAGGCAGGCAGGCAGACAGACATAAATACATACCTGCCTGCAGACGTACATTCGTGCCTGCATGCATGCATGCATGCATGCATACAGACACATTTAGATAGATGTATGTATATGCGCCTATACATATACACAGCATCTTCGATAAAAGCTGATGAAGCATACTGTAGCTGGCATAGCATAATATCATGTACGACAGAAAGCTACAAGAGAACACACACCGTGTACTCAATGAGGCGGGCCTCTTGGTCGGCATGGTTTTTGAAGAAGCGGTCGTTCACCTCCTTCGTGGGTCAAGGCCGAGTTCGCAGCAGATGAGCGGCCGGAAGTTTGGGTAGGTTTCATAGGGTTTTACTGTAGGGTTTCGTAGGGTTTTAACGTAGGGATCCATACGGTTTGAATGTGCGTTTGCGGTAGGGTCTCGTGCCTCACGAGGAGTGTTCATCCTTTTCCCTACGCAGTTCTCGGAATTTGGGGCAGTGCTGAAAGTTGCGGCTGCTTGAGCTTGTCGGAGGGGGGGGTGGAGTCTTTATTGGGGCCTTGGGGCTTTAGGGTCCAATAGCTCTGAGGCGCGTATTTTGCAAGAGGCTTTCGGGTTTCAGGGAGTCTGGTTAAGAGCATTCCGTGCCTTGCCGATGCCTGTAGTGTGAAGGATCTCCACAGAGATGGGCTTCTTAGAGAGCTCCTCGAAGATCGAGAGAATTCGCTTTGGGTCCTGAAGCCACGTCTAGGAATCTAGAGGTCAGGGAACTGGACCGCAGGATAAACTGGCTACTGATTTTTGGCCCTCCCGCAAATTTTGAGAGCAGCGCCCCTGTACTACACAAAGCCTTACAGGTGAAGAGTAGGCCTATCTGGACGGCATACTGTAGAGCCCCCCCAAAATCCGTCATTCCCCAGCCCGCCAACTCCCGGGTGTCCTGCGGTGTGGCAGATCGGCACTCTTGGAGCCTGGAGGTCGGCTGAACAACAGTTGCTCTAAGGTTCTGCACAGAGCCTTCGGCCTTCCTCGACAGTCTTCGATTTCCTGCCCAGATGCCCGCAGAACCTATGACAGGCTACGCTCCCCGAATCGCAGGAGCACCTCCTTGCTCACCATCTCGCCTTGAAAGGCACGCCCGTGGCCGGGCACGGACTCCCTCCATGCCCCAATCTAGCAACCAGCGTGTTGCGGCAAGGAACACACCAAGACATTTTGCTGATAACATAGCACATGCCGACAACACTACAGTAGTGGCTGGAATGTCAAAGGCAACCTGCGGATTTGCATGATATCGCGAAGGTGGAAACATTGAGCCTGTCAAAGGAGATGCCACGACATAAAGCTGAAAATGCGGCCAGCTCACCCACTACCTCAAGCGTGATCGCAAACTGTTTGCAAAATGTTTTGGAATGGAATTGGCACAAAGCATTGCTGAGTCTTCGCATGCATCCTATTCTCGATAAAACTAGTGTTCAAGTAAAATCGCAACAATCGACTAAATGGCGGCGATGGTGGCAACTAGCTCTTGGCAGGCTTGCGGCTAGCATCAAACTGCCAGCATGAGCACAACTGAGCTGACTCATTAGGATGCTTGGGTGAGACAAGCCGCCTCTGCTGCCATGTAACATCATCTTCCCGGAATTGAAAGTCTCTTCCACAAAAGGAGATGCATTCAGCGTCAGGTACGTCTTATTGGAGTGCGCTTGTATGCCTCATTGGACAGAGAAGGCGGCGCTCCAAGCTGTGCCTGACGGGGGGGTCGCAGCTCCGCTTTTGGGCCCGGCCTTGCCGGGAGCCAGCGGAAGCCTCCAGGTCTGCTCCCTTCCGCACCTCCGGACAGAGAGTGCCCTAAGAGCTCTAAGAGTGGTGCAAGAAACAGAAGGCGCATCCAAGAAAGAGGGCAACAGGAAGCTTGTAGCACACGCATCTTGTCACGCAGAGTGCACTGCGAAAGTCTGAGCGTGCTCCAGGCAGTTGGCATGCCGGGCATCAAGACCATCCTCTCTCGGGAGAGTGCATCTACGAAAACGTCGCTAATGTTGCGCTTTTGGCTGCTACCTGAGCACAGAACGTCTGCAAGCAAAACGTGCTGCAAACCATCTGACATATGGAAGGCAGCAAATCAGCTATTCTTTCACGATAAGGTGCTTCTTGCCGTGTCTTCGTAGTCTGCGGTACTCCGTTCAGCACTGAGCGCGCCGATTCCCGGAGCTTGATAACCTAGCAGAAACAGATAAACTTGCGGTACCATTCTACTACTATACTCCAGGTGTTGCAACCCTACAGCACTGTTATGGTAACCTTCCACAGCAACGGAATAGTAAGCTTTCGGCAACCTTATAGAGTCGCCTTCTATAACCACCTTCCGTGGCAACCTTATGGCAACCTCTGTCAAGGCACTTCCAATGACCACCCAAAAGGCCTGCCGTGGTTGTCTCCAACTTTCAAATCTCCAGAGCGGCTCTGCGAGATCACCACATCGTCCAGCAGCAGTTTTCCTGAAGCAATGTGGGGGTTTCCCAAAATAGGGGACCCTAAAATAGTACCCTAGATAATAGGATCCCTATTATAAGGACCCCAAAATAAGGTACCCCGAACTTTCGGAAACTCCCATGTTGACTTTGCTGCCGGCTCCACGGCTCCATCAAGGCATGCTGCAGCAGCTGGGAAACTCGCAGGAGTCTGTGGAGTCGACCTCGCCATGCTCCCAAAGAAGCCGCGGCTAAAGCGGTCCAGCAATGTTTTTCAAGTCTGGCATGCCGTGCAAGCCGTTGCAGTAAGTGTTGACCTCAAGGTTTGCAAGCAAGTGCCACCACCCATCCCGCTTTGCCGGTGTCGGAAAGTTAAACACCCTTCCCATCTCCTCTTCTGACATTGGCTCATATGCCTTCTTCACCTTTGCAGGATAGCACATCTTACCGACAAAGGTTCTAAACTCGTCTTCGAAGTGCTCGGGCAAAATACGGCCACCAAAGAAGCTGGCCTCCTTCTGCAAGGACCACAGCCCGGAGTGCCACTTCAAATGGAAGGCGGAGGCCCAGGAACGCAAAGGGTTCAATAAGGGCAGATGCCCGTGGTACTTAAAGGGCATCAGGGCAAACGCGTCCCTTCCCAGCTTCTTCCGCAGGACGTGGTACCAGTTTGTTGCACTCACACGACACGGCTGCAGGTCCTGGCGCCTTCCATAGACCGGTAGCCGACGACCTCCGTAACAGGACTCGGTGATGTCACAGGGATAGAAAGTCTGGTCAATGCCAAAGGCAAAGTGATGAGAACTGGGTGCCCGGATGTAGGCCTTGTACGCCACTACTTTCCGTGGGTCTGTTAGCCTGAAGAGCGCTGTCACACCACAAATGACAGGGAACTGGTTCATGATATTGTCGGTTGCATAGGTTGGCCGGACCTCCGGCAGCCTGGCCTTGTGCGCCACTCTGTCTATAAGGAAACCGTTCACGACGTTTTTCCCTGCTTGGTTCAGAGCATTGAAATAGGCATGGGCATCGAAGGTGCCGTTGTGGAAGATGCCCCCGTGTGGAGGAAAAACATGGAACTCGTCTACATCTGCCTTTATGATCCAGTCTTCAGCCTGGGTATGTTCGCAAAGCATGAGCCAGCTTAGAAATTCCAGATCACGGTTGCTTGTGTTTCTGCCTGTAAGCACAAGCCGCACATGGCGTATGCCAAAGTCCCTTCTAAGGCTCTCTGCAAAGGTTTTCCCAGCTCGCTTGCCATAGTAGCGATTCACTTGTATCAGCCCCAGAAAATTTGAAGCAGGTATGCTCATCTTCAGATAATGAATCAGAAAGGCGTTGAGCAACTGCTTTTGCGAGCTCCTCTCATCTGCATACAGCGCTGGGCTGAAATACGAGTGAAAGTGGAACCACAGGCAGCTTCCATCTGCGAGGCGCGCAGACCCACAGCGCGGAGAGGCTCCACACAACCGGGCAGAAGCTAAAGCAGCAGCCCATCGCCAGGTCCAGACCCAACCCGACATCCCTGGAGATGTGAGGCTGCGAGCCAAAAAAGGGTTGAGTTCACAAGTTGTCCGACAGATCTCGAACTTTCCGCCACTGCAAGGCTGCCTTGTCTGTTGCCGCACAGGTGTAGCAAACGAAGCACGACCGACTGACCTGCCGCAGATCACATGTCACGCAAACGACCGGACTTGTCGCTCTTGCAACTGTCTGTCTTCGTGCTCCTTCTGCCAATGGCGACGAAACCGAACCAACTATTTGCAAGAAAAGCAGAACCGAACTTCTGAGTTCTCTAGGAGTATCCTGGCCAACATCTAGTCGGACAGTGTCGATTAGACACAAACTGGCATGGCATGCACCAGTTAGTCACGCTTCAACAGCACAAAGCAGTTGCAAGACAAGAGGCGCCTTCGGAATTTGTGGCATGTTCTTTGCAGCCATGGCACTGCCTCGGGAACGCGTGAGAAGACACCCAGGCCCCACTGATCAGCGAAACCGACGAGGCCCGATCTCCAGGGATCGCTTGGCGTCGTTGGCAGTGGATTCACGTAAGGGTTGGTGCGCCCCTTTTGTGGAGAGCGCGGTCGCTGTGACCGCTGTGACACAGAACCCGCTTCCTTGGCCCAGTGGCGCCACTGGTGCAGAATGTGCAATTGCAGACGAGTGGGCGACTGAGGCTGCGGCATCGCAACATAAGACGCCACCCATGGCACTACAAGAGGTCTCCCGACATACTTTTTGGTCTGAAAGGGCCCAACGGACAGCTGAGCGTGAATCCTAACTTTTCACGGAGCGGCTCAATCACGTGTTGCTTCCTGCCGGTCGAAGCACGCACGGACCAGTCTACAACGATGCAAGGACATCCAGGACAGAGCGAACAACGTAGCAGCCCTTGTGTCATTCACTTCCCAAAGGCCATAGGGCCAAATTGTGACGGTGCTTGCATTCTGGATGCCCGGATCTGCGGTGCACGAACCCTTCCGCGCGCCGTTCGGTCGCACAGCACACCACACCACATCCGTTTTTGCCACTCCGGAGTGCAGACAGCCCAAGAGTTGAGGCGGATCGGAAAGCAACCTGAGCGTGTTTTGCGATGTCTTGTAAGACACTTCGACTCACATCCAGCTATATCAAGCTACATGGATGAAAGATACACCTGGCCTGGTGCTGAAGCGCCTTGACAAATCTGATGCAAACATTGCCATGGCCGCCTTAGTGGCGACATCTGCAAGAAATTCGGCTGCTGATCTGCAGCTTCAACCGGCACTCACAGAAAATCAGTCTTATCACAGTGTCCAGCAGAGGCATCCTCTTTTTCAGACTCCGTGCCGAGCTTCTGTCAGCACTCAAACCAACCTGACCTGGAGAGAAGCACCACTCAGCTGGACTGTTCTCGAACCCTGCATGTGCTAACTCCCAGCTGAAATCACAGTCCTGTTGCAAGCTGGCTCAGGGGGCTTGCAGACAATGCGAGCCATTCCCCGCCGGGTTATCGCTTTCTCTCTCCGCACAGCCTGTGTGATGCTCGACACTCCATTCCATTTGCTCAACTTTGTAGCGGTCTTCACTATGCGGTTTCGTCAGCTTGGAATGAAGAGTCCGTGCAGCTCTATGCGGCTGTTCCCTATTCCAATCAAACTATGCACAGAGTGACATGTGACAAGTGTTGACAAGTCATGCCTGTGGCCCAACGGCCTTTGTACAATGGGCACAGCCCGTTACGCTTAGTTCAGATGGTACACTCCAATGCGGATTTTCTGCATGGATGCCCGACGGCTGACGAGGCTGTGTGCACCCGAGTCTTACCCTTCGACTCTGCAACTTTCACGACAAGTCGCCAAAACTAAGCAAAAACAACTTAGCGCTTCGAGCGCTTGCCCTTGCGGCCCTTTTGTTTTGCATTGACTCCTCCGGCTCCTCTATCCCTCTTCTTGTCGTTCGCAGACTTCGAGACCTTGGCGGAAGGGCGGCCGGATCTCCGCTTTTTCGGCCCGGGCTCCTCGAAATCTCCGACCCAGGTCACTGTGCCCACACCTTTTACAGAGTTCTCGCGGAAGACGAGGGCGCAACCTGGTTCGATAATCTCTGGCCAGTGAGCCCAGCGGAACAAGACTTCTGCTGAACCGCCGGCTCTAAGCAACGAGATGGGCCGCCCTTCGGCATCACTCATGGACATAACTCGAGCCGTCTGCCGCGTCATGCCAACGTGAAGAACGGGTTCATATCTTACTCGTATCGAGCTCGGATGCTGCAGCACAGTGATGCTCGCCTTGATCCAACGCGAGGGCGTCAACGGGGACTTCGTGCCAACCAGGATTTTTGATCTGCTCAGAACCTTTGGCGTCAGAGCATCCCGGACCTTTCCGGAGGCTTTCAATGCAAAGGTACCGCTGGAGCCAGCTCGCAGCTCTTCGACAGGGTGGTCTTGCGCGCGGATGGAGGCCAACCTCAAGCTGATGAAGCCATCCTTCACCAAGTCTCCGGAGGTGTCGACGATGGGCCCGAGCCGGATCCCATCGTTGGGCCTCGCAGTCCCATGTAGCACTCTGCCTGAAACTACGAGTCCCACCCCCGGAACTTGGGGGAAGACTTCGTCGATCTGAATTTGAAGTGCTTCAGATCCTGGTAGAGACAAAGCCGCGGGAGCTTGCAGGGGTGGTCTCCGAGGAAGGACGTTCAGCAAGAGCTTCAGTTCTGGAATCATCGCGCCAGTGACTGCGGAGCACAGGAGGATCGGCGTAAATCCTTGGAGGATGCGCTCTGCTGCGAGCACTACATCGTTAGCGTCTTTCACAACAAAGGTAGGTGTGCCCATCTGCTTCATGAACTTCTTGACATCTTCAAGAGCAGACTTCCTCTGCCCTTCGCCTGCCACGTCACACTTCGTCAGGCAGATGATGGTGGGAATCGCAAGCGCATTCGCGACGATCAAATGCTCATGGACCATGCCCCGCAGTTCGCCACGGTTAGCATCAACCGTACAGAGCAGATAGTCGGGGGCCAAGCCCACCATGCCTTGCAAGGTCGTTTTGAAGTAGCGCTCGTGCCCGCACAAGTCGAAGAATGTAATAAGCTTGGAAGCCTTTTCGGCGATCCGTGCTTGTGCCTCGGCCCGTCCGGCGTTATGCTGGGGTTCCTCACTGCGAAACACTCCCTCACTGTCCTCCTCATAGTTCACGACCCGACCGGTTTGATCGAAGCCCAGTGTCATCGTGGAGACACACGAAGTCCTCCCTGTCTCGAGTTCATGGCGATGTCGAAACACAGAGGAGCGCGCACGCCCTCGGCCGTCGTCCCTCAAGCCCTGTGTGAGAAGACCCAGCAGTGTGGACTTTCCAGAATCCACGTTTCCAACTGTGCAGATCCTAACCTGGTCCCCCTGCCCCAGCAAGGAAAGCGCCGATGTTTGGGCTCGGATCAATGCAGTGATGGATGTCCTGTTGCCAGGTGCAATGCCGGTCCGTCTGCTGAGGACAGTGACTGTTGCCGGGATTCTTGCAGCCATAGCATGCAACACAGACATAGACTCTGCCAACTCTCCATCACTCAAGCCCAACACCGCCCCATCATCAGCGACGCCTAGTCGATACACAGCATCTCTGTACTGGCTGAGATCTGCGACTTCGGCACACTCCTCTTCGGAGCTGCATTCTCGCATTCGCCAATTTAGCTGAGTCACCAATTCTTCGAATCTTTCGGTGCCCTCCTGGGCGTTTAGCTTAAGCTTGTACTCCACCTTGCCCAGGGGCGGTTCCGGTGCCAATGCCAGCGCGCTGCTGTCTGGAATGAAGCTTCTCCTCTCAGCCATCTGGCGGCGAGGCAATCGCGACAAGCTCAGGCGCTCTGTCGGCTTGGAAAAGAAAGCGCCTCTTACCATACACACGACGAGATTACAAGCCCAATTCAATAAGAGCATGCCCATCAGCAGGGTCCATAGCCCGGAGCTTTGCCATAGACGCGGTCTCTTCGGGGTGGCAGCCCCCATTGGAGACAGACCCCTTGGGTCTTAATCTAACAGCTCGGGCCTAACACCACAAAACAGCAGGGATAGCATCACGCCGCCTTCCTTGCAAGCCCTGCAGTGACGAGGCATCCGCAAGCACAGCGGCCCAATAGACATCGAGGGCGCCCAAGAGCGTCCGTGCCAAGCTCCACCACCTTCCAAAGTGGGCAGCCCCGTAGAGTAACCACTCATAGATACCGATACCCTTCATAGCAGGATCCCCTATGGCAACCCCTTATAGTAACCCTCCATGGCAACCCCTTATAGTAACCCCCGAAGCCGAGCCTGGTCCCGGACTTCCCAGGGCCGTGGGATCGAAGGCACCGAGCTGAGCAGCGAGGGCGGCAGAGTCCTCGGAAGCTGTGCCAAATTCGCCTTCGCCTCGGGCAAAAGGACAGCAACGGCTTCGGGTTTGCGGTTTGGGGTTTAGGGTATAAAAGTTGACGCAGCGTTACATTGCACCAATAAGCACAGCACGATACGATCTGATATGATATAATAACATATTATGATGCTGTTTCACAACACTGTGATAGATCGAAGCAGAGCAGATGTCCTAGCAGCTCCTGAGGCCATCGCAGTTGAGGCGCACCTGGACCTCTTGAGGCCGCAAACTCTGTGGCAGACGTCCAAAGCCTCCTGTTGCATCACCAATCGCATCGAAAGGTATGTCCTTGTATCAAGCACCGAGCGACGCGCCTTCAGCAAGCATGTAGAGGCCTCTACAAACAGATGTGTCACAAGCTTGGCTCAGGTAAGATGGGTCAGAACAATGAGGATGTCAAAATCGCCTCCCCTTCCTCTTCCACCTTCACCTCCACCTCCACATCATCATAACCACGCACAACCACACCATGAATCATCACCATCGTCATCGTGTTCACCAGCCTCATGACCATCATCGACGTCATGCTCAAGAATGACCATCATCGCCACCATCATCCCATCGTCATCTTCCTCATTGTGATCAGCGCCTTCATCGTGAGGGTCACCGTGCTTAGGGTCTTCGCAACCATCAGCACTCAGTCTTGCGGTTCCTTTGCTAATCCTTCTCACCTGCTTCCTGACATTATTCGGCACTCTTCCCTCCTTCCCTGCAGTGACCGGCTTGCTATTTAAACCCCGTACTGCTTCGATGCTTCTTTGCTTCCTGGCCGTCTCTGCACAGGCCCTTGTCGCTCCGTACCTTCGGCGGCCTTTCCCCCTCTTCAACACAAATCGAAACTATGTTCACCAAGAGCCTGTGAAAGCAATGACCGCGTCTCGGTAAGTCGACGAAGTAGGTGGATGACCCCTCCGGTATGAGAGCAAAACTGACAGGTGCATCTCCGAATGTGCAGCTGAGCCATGCTGCGCTGGCACCTGCCGCAATGGCACCCTGGAAAGGGCTGCGACGAAGAGCCGGCCTGTGCCACAGAAATCGTCGACTTGCGGCATTCAATCAAACAGTAGTGCAGTGAGCCTCTCCAAGCGACGAACGAATCGAAGGGCAGGAGGGCTCGTCTGCCGAGGCAACATCTGCGGGAGAGGCTCAAAGAGGCTGGCCGCTGCTGGCACTGTTCTGCACTACACGATGTCCGGTATGTTGTTCGTAACATGTTTTCAACTCTTGAAGATGGCGGTTCCAGCCTTGACTCGGTGCAGTGCTTGAGCACGAAGGAAGTGGACAGCCAGGCGAAGCCTCTGCGATATACCCCAGGACAGCGCAAAAAACCCGGCGCACAACTCGTGTTGTCCACAATTTAAAGTCATCATAGCCAGGGCACAGATCTTCTGCAGGCTGAAGATGCTGCTTCCTCCGAAAGAAGCGATTAGGGAAGCAGAGCTGACGAAGCACCCGACTGGCCTTGGCAGTTCCTCCAGCAATGCCTGAGCCGCGCGCTCTCTTGCCAGATCAACCTCACCGCCCCAAACTGGCCCTACACCGGTCTAAGCTGCCGGCCCGTAGAACGGGCAGCCACTGCTCGGAGCGAGGCCCTTCGGAAGCCTGCTCTCTCTTCGCCACCAACTTAAGACGTATCTGAAAACGTGCTGTCGCCTGCAAAGTGGCGAAGAGGGCACGCCTCTGAAGAAACCACATCAGATTCTGCTTCGGAGCATTCCCACGTCGTCTGCACGGCGAACATGCCGAGCTCCTTGCCGCAATGCCTCGCCAGAGAAGAGCTTGGCCTCAAGGTATCGGAGCCGTGTCGAAACTTCAATTTGCACATTGACATGTGTTGCTTTGCAAGCTTTAGCTTCGGGTTCTTGAAATGTGCAGCACCTCCTAAACCTGAGGCCACGAGTTCTCTTTGTGTGCCTTCGAGACCAGCGTCTTGCAGCAGATCTTCGTCACTTTGGGGCAAGGCACCTGCACACACATCGTTGCTTGCAGACTGCAGTGCCATCCCTATCCTGCCGATTTCGTTTGATGTGGAGCGAGTCTGGGCACCCTGCCGAGGTGGAGGCGCACCACTCAGTCACGGAAATCGTGTCGCCTGAGTGCCCAATCCCGGAAACAAAGCCTGAAGCTTGGCCGGTATACCAGAAGGAAGCCGAGTCAAGAAGCCATACAACTCAGCCAGAGCACGCATGGTCAGCGTGGCTCCTTGACCCAGTCTCACCTCTCAAGTTGCGTCCACCGTGAAACAACAAAGCCGAGAGTTCTGCTCCGAACTCATCAACGGCGGCAGGAAGACCCGAAGTGTGCGTCCACAAGCCACGGCAAGGTCGGCCTGTTGGCTCAGCGGGATGCCGACCCAAGAATGCGCGCTCCGCCGGGGCCTCCTCAGGAGCAACAGCCGCCGGTGAGAGACGTTGCAGCGACTGACAGGGTGCAGAGGGTGCATCAGAACTCCAAAAAAATGAAGGATCTCGCAGGTTTCGGTGAATTCACTTCGGGCCTCTGCCACAGATGAAAACGTGGCCAGCTCCCAGATGCGGCTGCTCGATTCGCCTGCAGCCGCAGGATCAGTTTACTCAGTTTACTCCATCCGAGCAACATTCTCGGACTGAGAGACTGCCTGAAAGGTCCGCCACAATGCCTGCCATTCTCTGCCACAGTACCTTGGCCTGGGGTTCAGGTGCCCTAGTATTCGGCATCCGGCATGTAGCAATGTGGACCCCTCTAAGCTGCCGGGCGATTTCTGGGCAGCGGTCCATATGGCCGAAAGCCGTACCTTCAGAGCCGACAGGCTGGTTGTGGCAGAGAGCCCAAATCACAACACACCGTGCAATGTGGAACCAACAATCACCGGACTGGAAAACTTGCTTCTGATGACGGGAGTTCTTCCTATGCTTCCCTGTGCCGTCTCAGGAGCGTGATGGGGGCTGCACAACGAGAGCGTGGATGCTTGCCCAGCATACAAGGGAAGGGAAGTCTCACAGCTCTTCTGCAGTCCAGGAAGCGGCTTGCCGGCGGAGCTCCAGCCAGATGCTCCTTGCCGCTCATGCGGGGATGTCCATGACTAGGGGCCACTGTCCCAAAACTGCGCCTCCCCGCCTGGACGTGCAGGAGCGCGCAACAGCGATGAGCTTCCAGGAGCTCCTCCATGCTCAGCAGCCTGGAGTTCGGATGACTTTGGGTTTCAAGCTTCAGAGTTCCAATGTTTAGGATTGAGGGCTGATCACTTTTTTCGGGGTTAAGGCCGGCGGGGCTTAGAGTTTTTGGAAACGACGGGTGTCAAGGTTCGGCGGTCTGGGATGATGAGTTTTTCATGGTTTTTCGGGTTCCGGTACTGTAAAACATTGTAAAACCAACAACAAAACGAACTCTGCTTGTGAAATGTGAAGCTACTTACTGCATGGCAACATAAGCCAATGTGACGTGACCCAGTGAAGTCACGCAAAATCCAGAACGAAGCACGTGACTTGCCCGCGTGAATCCAATGTCGACTCGGGCCCACACCTGGCTCCTCGGTCAAGCTTCGCAAAAGCCTGTCCCAGTACCCTACAACACTAACGAACAGTGAGCGCAACATGACTGTGGCCCTCGGGATCAAAGAAGTGACCGAGCGTAATCGCAAAAGAAACTCTTGGCGATGCTGCGCTGTCAGGTAATACTGGGCGGTGTTGGGACTTGCGGCCGTTGCTAAGATCAAAGCGTTGTGAGGCGGCTCAGATCCAGACAAATTGGGACAGTCGCCAAACTGTGCAAGGCTCGAACAGTTGCCGTCCGTGCGATGGAAATCCGTATGATACTACACAAAGATAATCAGCACCACACAGCACGATGTTGCACTGTACAATAGCCCGGGGCACCGCTGGAAAAAGCTCGGCCTCTGGAGATCGCGAGCAGATCATGGCATAGGGCAAAGCGATGCTGGAGAAGCCTGGCATCTCAAAATCCTCCGGAAAACAGTCCCCGAAGATCACAGGTACCGGAAACGAGCCCATCCTTTGGAACAAGTCTCACCTGGCTTGCGAGAATCACTTTGCAGCTTCCGCCTTCGGACTCTCGAAGCTGCCGGGTGGCTGCGCCCAGCCTCCCAGGACCCTAAGGCGACTCCCAAAAGGGAGGCTCTCCAAAATCAGGCAGGCGTGCACTGCGTCGAAGTCTCTGTCGTCGCAGCAGGTCAACACCTCCGGTCATGTCGGTTTTACTACACGATTTCAGGGCTTCGAGGCACTTACGCATGCTGTCAAAGCAGCCTGCGCTGCTCAGATTAGAGATGCTCTCGGCTCTGAGGCTCTAACCCTGAGACACTGCAGAGCCGTCTGCAGGTTCTGCTCCGAAGGCAAAGCTTCGACCTCCGGGCAGACGATCGGATGACAACGGCATCCAGGTGACACACAACGGCATAGCCTTGCCTCTGGTAGCCGAACCGCCAACTGCGTTGTCCCGGCTTGCAGGGTTGCCTGCCGCCGCAGCGCAGTGTTCGTGGCCTTTGCTGTCTCCACGTCCACGCAAGGGCCTCCTGCACGGATTGGACGGCATCACTGGCACCTTCGGCCGCGAGCAGAATCACCACATGCACGAAGCGCAGCGCAGACTCTGGCCTCTGGCAGAGCCTGCACCCAGCCGCAGGGCTACGCGCAGGCGCCGGCCCAGTCGACACTGCAGCTCCTGAGTCTCACGAGATCGGTCCCGGGCCGATGGTCGAAGGTCGAAGGGCCGGGGCCCTGTGGAAAGCACCGATCTGGTATGCAGTAGTCGCCACCTGACAGTGCTCGTAGCAAGTTGACTCAGAGGACTTTCCATAGCTTCACAAAGCTTCACAAAGCCTCCAACACCTCCCGTGGGCGACGCGGCTGGGGATTTATCCGGTCTTCCCGCCGCACCGCCTCAAACGTGCGACGTGCAGCTGCCGTCTTGCGCACGGGCTTTTTGCCTGTAGCCATCGGGCTGTCAGCTGCTTGTCCACGACACCAAGCCTGAAGCGCTGCAAGCGAAGCACTGAAGCAAAGCCCGTGCACCCCACTCTCGGCATGCAGGGGCAGGGAACCCAATCTGCCTGGCCAGACTACGACTCAGGCGACCAAGGAGGTGTGCGGACCTCCTAAGTTGATCCAGGAGCTTCCCATCGCAAACACCACTAGCGTACTGCACCAAGGCTATGTCCATCGTCCCTGAGACAGTGCCCGCGCTGTCCCGCCTGAATCGAGAGCACGTAACGTAGGCCCCGCACCTTCCCCCGAGCATCTCTGGCCTCTCTCGGTTACCACGTCCTTCAAGACCACACGGATCAAAGCCTCGGCTCTGACCTCGCTAATTTTGTTGCTGTTACCTGCATGGCTCCCCTTTTAATGTGAAAGCTTGGACCTCCAAGATCGCCAAAGCTTCGCAGATGAAAACGACATCAGCCTAAACGCAGTCTCGTGCTTGGGCCCATGTCAGCATGTCAGAGCTTTGCCGCAACAACTTTGCATTGCAAGACCAATGGATCGAAAGACTTTGGCCCCCAGCATCTGCGATAATTTCGCATCGCTCTTCCGGCTCAAACGCTGGACTCAGCCGTCATGTCAAGCATCACACTACCCTGTAGCACGAAGTCTTCCCTGCCATGCTTGGAGAGAGGTTTTGAGTTCACGGCAGCGAATACAAGTTGGTCGGACTGGCAAGGTTCCTTATAACCGAGGGTCAGATCAAAGAGGAGCTGCCTTTTTGACGGCATGTTCCAAGGGTAACGGCCCAAGGACTTTTCGAAGTCCCTGCTTTGGTGGCCTCGCCTCGGGTTCCACAGAGCAATGGAAGAGCAGCGCCTTGGATGCACCCCGCCGACCTCGAGGGACTCGGACACCATCCGCACAGTGAATCGCAGCGCGGCCTCATCCGGCCACCTCAAATCGCAAAGCTGAAATCACGAGTCGCTGCGAATCGAAGGCTCCTGGAGGCCTCAATGCAGCCAGCCCACGACAAAGATGAACCAGCGCCTCAAACCTTGGACCATGACGCCCACAGAGTCTCGCTGACTTCGCCAGGGACCTTCCAAGGCTTCGGCTCCGTCTCCTGCCAGAGGGGCACATTTCCGATCTCGTTCTGTGCCCTGTGCTGCTCTGTGCTGTGCGTGGGAGGGCGCTCCCCGTCCTCTGTCTGCAAGGACTGCACATCCGGGAAAACCACGGAGAGGTGATTCAGAAGCTTGGTATCTCTTGCACTGAATGTGCCGAAGCAGTCCACAATTCGGGCAAGCTCCGCAAACGAGCATGAGACCGCCTGGGCGGCAAGCAGTTCCAGCCAGCATTACAAGACCAACACGCGTTCTTTCGGCTTGCCTCTTGACAGAAGCGCCGTGAGACCTCAAGAACAAAGACATCTACACTCACTCGATGTCTAGCATAACATCGCATTGCGTCTCAACATAAAAGGGTGCCCGACCACTCGCAAAAGTTTCGCAGGCGGGTCTGTAAGCTGCCTTCAGGAGCACACCGACGCCATCAACTACGCCCAAATGAGCCCCGTGAGCCCGGCACCTGCTCTGCCTTCTCATTGCGAACGAATGCAGGATGCGCGACATCTCTCCGATTGACAGAATCTTGTTCTGAACCTGTCAAAGAGAACATCGCCTCACAACGAGGGTGCACTTAGCTCCGGCCACAAAGAGACGCTCCAGCTGTCGCCACAGGAGGTCGTTGTCAAAGTGCCCCCGAGCCGCGCCTTCGACCTGGTCAGTAAACGACTGAAACAAGCATCCCAGCAGCAAGCACAGCTGCGGATTGGACGAGAGCTATCAGCTCGGATGAACGAAACCTGGAGACGGCTCGACAACTACGAAGTAGGGCAACTAAAGACGGCTCGACAACTGCGAAGTAGGGCAACTAAGCATATTTTCCAGGGCGCGCACCGCTCAAGCAGGCCGAATGGACGCAGAGCTTGCCGGGCACGCAGTTTTTCCACCTGATCAGATGCGCATGTTCAACGGTAGCCCCGTCGATTTGGGAACATGGACCGGAAATCTTTCACCTTCGGCTCTACAGGTCGTGGTTAAGACGGCACGCTGCAATTTTTCAGTCCGATCATGCAAACATGTTTCATGACTACGAACATCCACAAAGTAGCAACCGTTGTGGCTTGGCCTGCCCGTCTCAAAGGCGATGCAATACTGTGATTCGGCAAGGGCAGGCGCAGGGGCAATGACAGCAGCGGGAGCACCAGCAGAAGCTGTAGCAGCAGCAGCTGGAAGCAGAAGTAGAAGCAGTAGCAGCAGCAGTGGGAACCAGCCGCGGCAGCAGCAGCAAGGAGTGGGAGACGCAGCAGCGCAGTCGTCGTCGCTGTCGTCGTCTCGTGAAGTCGTCGCTGTTGCCGTCTAGGTCGTGGTCGTTGTCGTGGTGGTGGCGACAGCGGCAGCAGGAAAAGCACTCGGTGCAATCAGATAGCCTTGTTTATGAGTTCAGTATCCTGTCACAAGCAGTAAGCGCAGATTCCGGAAGTTACGATGTAAATTTCGATGTTGAGTGCATGACAATTTTCTGACAGATTGGCGTAAACTGAGGGGTTTGGGTCACTAAAGCCCGATTGGATCCTCGAGCGGCGCCGTTTCAGAAAGCGATATTTTTTGAGCATCCGCAGGGCAGGCTTTTTCCTCTGGCGACAGCTTTCAGCCGCTCTTCGAGTTGTAACGACTCCACGTTCTCCGGAATCTTTCCGGAAGCCACAGTATCCTTGCACAGACAGAATCAAAACATGAATGCATGGAAACACCTGAAGCCAGCACTGGTGCAGCTGTGCCACTTCGCGTTGCACGGCTTGACCCGGACCCTCTTGCCCAGCCGCCCCACAACGGACTCCATCAGCACGTTGTTCTTGCTCGGCCAAGATTGGCTCTTGACTCTTTTTCTCGTCGAGGACCATCACCGTCAGGTAAGTATCGTAGACCTGCGCACCCAGGCAGAACTGAGATGTAATGAACATCAAAACGAAAGCGACCCCGCCCTGGCCTCGGCAACCACGGCATAGTTTTGGACGTGCTCACTGATGCCTTTGGCCAGCTCCACAGGATCGCCGATCTCCGGATTTCCTGTGGGCCTAACCCCGGGCGTCGTCCCCTTAACGGCGTGCAGGTATGTTGTCAGCTCGGCAAGCATCTGCAGGTGCTCCTCCAAGGTCTGCGGATCTCCCTCGGGAGTTGGTGGAATCTGTCGCCACTCACGGCCGTCCTCCCCAAGCACCTCCACAACCGGCAGCTCGTTGTCATGCCGGTCCTCCTCCAAGGCTAAGGCCTTGTCCTCTTCCTTCACCTCTCGCGGCCTTTCTGGTGGAGGTAGCGGCTTGTGGTCGTGCCCGTCCTCCTCCTCCTCCCGGGCCTTCCCCTCATGACGTCGCTCCTCCTGCTTGGCGTCCATCTGCTCCTCGTGCTTGGGCAGCAAACGCTGCTCATCTCCGCGCAACGGCGTGCACTGGATCAGCTTTACTCGAGCCGGCGCCTGCTCTGCGGCAGCTGAGGTTGTCCTCCGTCCAAGGCCCTCGTTTTGATGTCACACTGTGCTCAACACACATGTTCCGTCAAAAAGTCCGCCACCCATCAGGTCCACTAATGGTAGTAGTGGTGGTTATAACAGCGGTAGAGTTCTGCGGTTGTTTATTCATTCTGGGTTGGGGCTCGGCTTGGCTACAACGCGTAGCATGCACCGATACAAGATGCTACGCGATTTTTACATGCGATTACTGCCTCTTGCCCGGGATTACTTGGAGGAGGCCCCCGTGCTTAGGAGGGGAGGGGCGAGAAAATGTAGATTACAATTTTCGCTCCCCCACGGATGCGAATGTGTAAATTGTAGGATCCCACGTCTGGGTCCACGTTTTGCAGCTACCTCGTGCAAAGCAAGCC